GAAATGTTATATAGTACATTGTGAATCTGTTGTCACACCATACATGAATTGATCTAAATATTCGTTTAATCTAATAATATTTAAACATTATTATTATATCATGAATCTGTTGTTATGCTATATATGAAATTTTTAAAATCCTTATTTATCAATATTTTTAGTTAATAAGAAACACACCTTGAGGTAACAAGTATCTTGAGCTAACTATTTATCGAGTAATGTAGGCAGCCCTCTCCCCCTTCCTTAACTCTTTCTGATCAAAGTGGTTTTACATAATATAGTATTGGGAATAAGCTTATTCTATCCCTCTCTTTCTTGATACTAACCATGTCCTGTGATAGCTTTTATCTTTGCAGACTGAATTGTTCTGATCTTCGTGATTTATCCTTAAATAACCCTCTCTCTCTCTCATTTCCTTGATCATTTTATGCCTTTACCACTGAGTCCCTTGGGCATTGTGAGACCTTGAAGTGTAATCACTAGGCTGGAACACATTGTCCCAGGTTGGTCCCATCTGGGGGTCCCTAATGACATCTGGTTGTACCCTTTGACTGCAACAAGCAATAAACAGAATAAAAAGTGTGAATGTAGGGAAGAAACTGAGAAAACCCAGAGGGTTATGGAAGAGCAAAATGGACTTACATGAGGGGAAAAAAAACATTGACTCCTGCAAAACACTCAGAACTGATTACTAATGCATTCCCTAATTCCTTTACATCTTAGTTGTGAACACAACTAAGCTTTCTGGAATGTTGAAAAGAGAAAGAACAAAACCAACGTCCTACTTTGCCTGGGAGTGATCCTGTAGTAATTTAGAGTGAGGCTCTCTGGTAAGAAGAGTTCATCTCTGATAGACACCAACTATGTGAAGAGCTTACATAAATTACACGTCTTCTGTGGGATGTGAAAATGTCGGAGTTTAGAGCCATGGGCTAAGTTACTCTGGAATGAGCCCTGCTGGCCAGACAGGCTCGCACTGCTGACCTGGGAAGATCTACCTTCGCACTAAATTCTTTCCTTTGCCCTCTGGTCAGTTACAGAAGGACGATGTTATCATTGAAAGTTCCTGTGTAAATGTTCGAATTAAAATTGATCATAATTATCACTGGGAGTGATCCTACAAAATTCATTAATTTATCGAACCTCTTAGACACTGTACTGCTGGGCTAGGAAAATAAGAGCTTGCAGAATGGTCTATGCCCATGGAGAGCTTACAATATAATGAGGAAGTAGATGTCCGTCAAATTTGTGTACTTTTGTAAGTATAGTTAAGACAAAGAAGGAGAGGCGTATTATTCTCTAAGAGAGCAACACTGAGAACGTGATAATTGACTAAGATCAAAATGGGAAGAGAGTTTCCTCAGCAAAAGTGACAGCATGTACGAAGGCACTGAGACAGGAGAGAGCATACTAACTGTGGGGGAGTAGAAGAAACCCAGTGTGACTAAACCAAGTTGAAACAAAATGAGGTAAAGCTGGAGAGTGAGAGACAGAGAGAGAGGCCATGTCCTCCAGGATCTCAAGGAGCAATAGGAAGCCTCTGGGGTGTTTGAAGAAGAGGGAGAGCGTAATCCAGTTGGCATATTTTTAAAAAACCGCTCTGCGAATATTGTGGGAAATGACAGTAAATGCCTTCAGACTTAAAAATTAAGGCAATTGGTAGGAAAGATGAGCAAAGCCAGTAACTGGCCTAGTACGATTTTTAAATTATAGACTGGAAGGTGGTCCAAGGCCATGGGCCACCACACGGTTAAGATGTTTTCCTTCAGGAACATATGGAAATGAATGTTCTACCACACAGGTTGATTGACACCCTCCAGTGAGTTTTAATTCTTTGGGATCCCAGGCATGTACTTCTGAGGATGAAAAGCAGATTTAACTAACTTCTGTTTAGGAACTCAATAGACATGATTTCCCTTAGTGTCTGCTTGGTATTTCCAGCTCCATGAATTATTTCCAGCAATAAGCAAACTAATTGGCTTAAACTCTAAGTGTGGTCAATTCTCAATAGTGGGTCTTAAGTACCCTATTGGTCTTTGAGGGTTTTTTTTTTTTTAATTTGCTTGCCTCTTGACACTCATTTTGCCTTAGGAGAAGAATATTTTCTAGTCAATGGAGTCTAAACAGTTCCATTTTATTTGGTACTTTAAGGAAATGAAAGAAAGCAATTTTGGGTAAGGATATAAATGCTTGATCTTTAGCATAGTACAGAGTAGATTTCTAAAGCTGGTAAAAGGATAGAAATATGAATTTTTATATAGGCTTAGAATTTTATAACCTTTTTCTGGCATTGTAGATGGAATAAAGAAAATTATTACCACCATAATTCCATCACCCAGAAAAAAAATCATTGTTTATATGTGATGAAATTTCTTTCCTTTCTCATTTTTTAAAAAATTAGGAATATATTGTATATACATTTTATAAACTTTTTAACTAGTATTATATGATAGTCAATTTCATATATGTATATGTCAATAAATAGTTCTGAAAACATGTTTTTAAGCCTATATAATATTCTATCAGACAAATGTACTGATTTTTGTCAATTTGATAATTCTAAAATAATATTATTTTTCATTTTTTTGATTACCAAGATAATTCATTTGTAATACACTTACCAATCTCCATATTTCTTCTTTTACAAATTATCTTTTCATGTCAGCTTATCAAGATTTATACTCACTCTCAATATTTTCTTAATTTTTAAAAATTCAAAATTTTTTATATTTTAAGATATAAAAAGTTTTATAATGAGTGAAAACATTCTGTTTTCTATAATATTTGTTATAAATATTTTTCACAAGTTGGTGATTGTGTTTTATAAGTATTGTTACAAACAATTTTGTAAGTTTTTGTGGTTTAAGGTCTACTAATTTTTTTCTTGGTGATTATTTTTTAGCTGTTTCCTCAACAAATACCTGTAGAGTATTATGTGTCAGCACTAAGCAGGATAGTAGGGGTAAAACGGGAAATAGGCAGAGATTGCTTTGCTTTCTCAGAGCTTATAGTCTAATGAGGGAGACAGGCAAACAAATCCCAGGCCATTACAATATAGCATATTATAAGCTATGCAAGAGGACATACAGGGTAGCATGAAGCACCTAATCTAGACTTTGGGGTAAGAGAAGCCTTCTAGAAGAAAGCGACTTTCTAGCTGAAAATGAAGAGACAGCAGTAATGTGAGCTGGGGCCAAGGATACAGTATGTGCCAACGTTTGTGTTCAGTGACCTAGTGTTCAGTGGCCAGCACCTGGTGTTCATTGTTCAGAAAATGCTGAAGTCCTATGTGCCTAGAACACTGATTGCACGCACATGCGATGCTTTGAGGGCAGAGGCGGTCAAGGCATGAACAGACCACGGGGAAGGCTGCTGCAGGAGCCAGGAGACGGGTGATCATGACGGACAGGGAATGTGTTAAATAACTCATCCCTTTTCTTTGAATAAACGATGCTTCAGTTATATATAAAGCTCTTTTTGTTTGTTCTCTCATATTTTATTTTAGATCCTATCAAATATCTTTCTTTTTCTGATGGTAAATTTTTATTTTTATTTATATTTTTAATTGTTCAGTGACAGTTGTCCCCTCTTTTTCCTCGTTGCTCTCCCCTGCCCCATCCCCCCCACTCCCACAGTCAGTCCCCGCCACCGTCCGTGCCCAGGAGGCCTCCGTTCGCGTTCCTTGGCTTGCCCCTCCCCCTTCTTTCCCCCACTCTTTCCCTCCCCCTTCCCCTCTGGTCACTGTCTGTTTGTTCTTTATTTCCGAGTCTCTGGTTCTATTTTCTCATTTGTTTGTTTTGTTGATTAGGTTTCACTTATAGGTAAGATCAAAGTTCTTATGTATGTCACACTATCTATTGCAGAATAATTTATTTATCTGTATTGTTATGTCAACTCTTGGGCAAGCACTAAGCTGATTTTGAGTTTTATGAAACATATAAATCGGTAGCGGATGAAGCCTCTCATTACTTTTCATTTTCAAAATTGATTCATTTGCCCTTGCCAGTGTGTTCTAGACAAACTCTAAAATGATTTTTTAAAGTTAGAAAAGTATATGCGTATATATAATATATGAGTATAAATATACGTATAAATGTGTGTATGTGTACAATCATGTGCTGCATAACATTTTGGTCAAAAATGGACCACATGTAAGATAGTGGTCCCGTAAGATTATAACAAAGTTGAAAATTCCTATCACCTAGCGATGTCATAGCTGTCATAAGGTTGTAGCACAATGAATTAGTCATGTGTTTGTGGTGATGTCTGTGTAAACAAACCTACTGCTCTGAGAGTTGTATAAAAGTATAACAGATATGACTATGGGCAATACATAATGCTCAATAATGATAATAAAAGACTATGTTACTGGCTAAGGTACTTTACTATACATTTTATCATTATTTTAGAGTGCATGCTTTCTACTTATTAAAAAAAGAAGTTTGCTGCTGTAAACGACTATGCCATGTTTCAGAGGCAGCAACCTCATATCTCGTGTTTACCATGTCTCTTGATTGCATCGTTTTCTCTGGCGCTTGATCTCACCTCCTGTTTTGTGTGACATGGCCCCAAAGTGTACAAAATCCACTGTTAATGTTGCCAGTAAGGCACTGAGTGATTGACCTGCAGATGAAATTAAAAGTGATTAAGGACAACAAAGGTGGAAAGTCTGTGATGGTTACTGTTTACCAGTTAAGCATGGCCCATTCCACCATAGTTACGATTTTGAAGAACAAGAACAAGGTGTCAGAAACTGTTAAAGATCTGCTTCATTGAAAGCAATGAGACTAACAAGAATTTGAGAAGAGCCTATCTCAGACATGGAAAAACTACTAGTGACTTGGATTAAAGATCATAGCCCCCTCAGTGCTGTGACGATCACAGCCAACGCGAAAGTTTGTTTGCGATGTTGAAAGAAAGAAGTCTCGGGAGTTGCACTTGTAACCCTGCTTTTTCTCTCCCACAATACCTCACACTCTTTCCAACCTGAGCCCGGGAAAATGGCTCCCACAAAGAAAGGTGGGAAGAAGAAGAAGAAGGGTCTTTCTGTCATCAACAAGATAGTGACAAAGGAATACACCATCAACATTCACAAGCGCATCCATGGAGTAGGTTCCAAGAAGCATGCCTCTCAGGTACTCAAAGAGGTCTGGAAATTTGCCATGAAGGAGATGGGGACTCCAGATGTGCGCACTGATACCAGGCTCAGCACAACTGTCTGGGACAAAGGAATTAGGAATGTCCCACATCGTAACCAGGTGTGGTTGTCCAGAAAACGTAATATGGATGAAGAGTCACCAAATAAGCTCTATATATTGGTCACCTACGGACCTGTCACCACTTTCAAAAAGTTACAAACAGCTAATGTGGATGAGAACTCACTGCTGACTGTTCAATTAAGTTATAAAACTGAAAAAAAAAATTAAAAACAAAGTCTGGCAACGTTGATTTCATTGCTAGTGCTGGGTGGTTTAAATAATTCGAGAACCATTCATTACATAATGTGAAAGTGAGTGATGAGTTTGTACGTGTTGATGAGAAGGCAGCTGAAGAATTTTGGAAAATTCTAGACAAGCTGATTATAGAGGAAGACCACTTGCCAGAGCAAATATTCCATATGGATGAAACCTCCCTTTTCTGGGAACAGATGTCTAAAAGGACTTTCAACCGTAAAGAAAGCAAGTCCATGCCAGGTTTCAAAGCTTCTAAAGACAGGAGAACTGTCTTGCTTGGGGACTATCTTGCAGGCTACCAAGTCAAACCCTTTCCGATCGGGCGCTGTGAGAACCCCTGGGCCTTCAAGAGTATCACTCACACTGCCGGCACAGTGCAGAGGCCAATGACTCGTCACAGGTGACCCCGCTTTTCTTCCAAGATGCCCTCCTGAATTGCTATGCCAGCAAAATGGAGAAGTTCTCTTTGGAGACAGACATGCCTTTCACACTGTTGCTTATTGTTGATAACACTTTCAGACGTCCTCCTGGGGTTGGTGAGCTTCCTCTCAATAACAAAGTGGGGTTTCTCCCTCTGAATACCACCTTGTTGATCCAACCAACGGATTAAGGAGTTGTAGCAGCTTTTAAGACCTCCTGCCTGATGAGGACCTTCGCCCAGGCCACTGCCACAACTGAGGAAGACGCTGATGCTCTTCTGGAAGGGCGGCAAAGTCTATGGCTGCATCTAGGACCTTGCCTGGGCTTGGGGTGGTATCACTGAACTGTGAATTAATGGACGAAGACACGCAAGAGCTTTGTCTGTGACTTTAAAGGATTTGTCAAGGATGAGAAGTTTGCAAAAATGAGCCAGGCTGTGGTTGGGATGGCCAACAGCTTGAACCTGGATATGACTGAGGATGACATCCAGGTGCTCCTAGGGTGGCTCCTGAGGAATTGACCGATGAGCAGTGTTGGAACCAAGACGGGAGCACGGAGCTGAAGGGGAGGTGAGAGAAAACTGCAGGAGAGGAGTTAGAACCCCAAGAAAACTCACAGTGAAGGGTTGAGCAGAAGCTTTAGGAGCTCTCAATAAGCTCCTTAAAAACATTGTAAACATGGACCACAACACCAAGAGGTTTCTGTTAATAGAGAGAAATATTCATGGTGCGTTATCTGCTTACAAGCAAATCTGTGATGAATAAAAGAAACAAACCAAGCAAATAACCATGGACATAGTTCTGAAAAGAGTGACACCTCCGCAAGACAATCTTCAGGCAGGACTTTCAGGAACTATCCCTGAAGTCGTTGTCTTGTTGTCGTGGGCGATGACAGCTGCATGCACATTATTTATTGCCCTTGAGGGCCTTCCAGAGGGACACCCTATTTAGGCCTACATTGATGTGTGTGTGTGTGTGTGTGTGTGTGTGTGTGTCCTAGTTTTTAACAAAGAAGCTTAAATAGTAAAAATAATAATAATAATAATGATTTTAAAATGGAAGAAACGATTAAAAATAAAGATATAATTGAAGATGCTGGCATCTCTCTTTTTGCTACTTTGCATTTTTGTGATTCATACCTTCAATATATCCTAATAAAGACCTATATGGTATGGACTATAAAACAAGAAGAAGGTTATAAAGAAAGACAATACTTTTGTGCCGCTGTAGGGTGTGTTTGTGTTTTAAGCTAAGTGTTATTACAAAACAGTCAAATTTAAGAAAAATTTAAAAGTTTATAAAGTAAACCATTACAGCAAGCTAAAGCTAATTTATTATTGAAAAATAGTCTTTGTAAATGTAGTATCACTTAAGTGTACAGTGTTTATAAAGTCTACAGAAGTGTGTCCTGGGCCTTCCCATTGACTCGCCACTCCCGCCAGTCCCGCAAGGTCCGTTCATGGTAAGCGCCCTATGAAAGTGTACCACATTGATCTTTTGTGCTGTATTTTTATGTACCTTTTTAATGTTTAGGGACACAAATACTTACTATTATGTTACAGTTACCAACTGTATTCAGTACAGTAGCATCCTGTACAGGGTTGTAGCCTAAGAGCGATAGACTAGACCATGCAGCCCAGGGATGGAGTCGGCTGCACCATCTCGGTTTGTGTAAGTGCGCCCTGTGCTGTGTGCACAATGATGAAATTACCTAATGACACAGTTCTCAGAATGTGTCCCTGCTGTTAAGCAACTAGTGATCTCTCTCTCTCTCTCTCTCTCTCTCTCTCTCTCTCTCTCTGTCACACACACACACACACACACAGTCTCCCATGTCTCCAGCTGGTAATTTGGGAGTGTGTTAAGTCTATAGATCCCTTGTGGAAAAAAAATGGCATTCTTTTTTCTACTCAATCAGCCTACTAAGAAGCTCTGATCATCTTACTTTAGTTTTCTTTTATATTTCTTGCTAAAATGCTATAGTTTTGTTCATGTAGGTCCTGCACATTTCTTGTTGGGGCTATTCTCATGTATTTTATAATTTCAGTTTTTCATTGTAAATGCATCTTTTTTTCCCATATCTTCTCTTTGATGCTGCTGAATCATATGAAAATTACTAATGTATCTGTGTTTCAATTTCTGACTAATTCATTGTATTAATTATAAGAGTGTTTAGTTGATTATAAGAGTTTGTAGCCGTAATCATGGTGTCTGTGAGTAATGGTAATTTTTCTTCTTCCAGTAGTTGCATCTAACTTATATTTGGTGGCTTAAGCATCGATTATAACTTCGTCAAATAATAATAGTAAGCATCCTCTCTTACTACCAATTTTTAAAGGAGTGCCCCTTATCTAATATTTTTCAGAGTATATTCTGTGAGAGCTAATAAAGTAAATGGGAAATGCTACAAATGAAATCCTCTCTCCCAGGGATTTATCATTCATATTAATATATTCAGAGCCTAACTTCTGCAGTAAGAAAACTAGTTCAGCTGAGTTCAACCCAGAATTTCTAAAATGCATTTGGCCACAGAAGTATTTTTCCTCTCATTTGGAAATTTATATCAGTCATGAAAATCAAAAGTATGTTAATTTGATCTGAATTTTTTCAGCATTTTGTGAATCTTTGCATCTATCTTTCGTCGTACTGTGGATTGGTTTTGCTATTATTTTTCCAATAATTTAGAAGATAGTCATCCATATTTTTATTTTTACAAGTGATTATACTTAAGATTTTTCAAAACACTTCTACCTATATTTTATACTTACCAATGCCACGACCATTCACTTTTTAAATCAAGTTCAGATGAAATGGTATGTTTGAATAACTTCATCACAAATGAAAATTTTAATTCATTTTTACTTCCTTCTCATCCTTTCCTCAGCCATTATAAAAATGATTTAACACTTTTTATTTGGATTACTGTCAATAAATATTTTATATTACATGACTTCTCTTTTGTGAATTGTTTTATCTATTCAGCAATGTAATCGTATTTGTAATATATTCCTAGGCAGTTCTATGGTTCTCTGGTTTCTGTGTCCATAGCTGTTGTCCTTTTACACCACAAACAGCTCATTTTTGACATCTTACTAGTTTGTCTCTGAGGAAGCTAAAGGACCTCTTCAAGAATTATCATGAGTAGGGCAAGTAGGTCATAAACAGGGTCCAACATAAATAACTCCCCTTTTTTATTGTAAAATCTTTTATTACAAAGTCATAAGCATGTAACTCTGTAACACAATAATACCACACTCAAGCACACCATGTGACATTTTAGGTGAAATATTAAAATTAAAACTATAAATCATTACACCTATGCTATTCCCCTGCCAACCACACTCAAGGAGACATTACTTTTGCTGGGCCCTGTATTTTTTTAATCCCTTGGTTGGCTTCAACAACTTTCTTTTGGCTTTCAACATAAAAAAAGGAATAATTTGTCTGGGTATAAAATTCTTGTCTTACCATCCTTCTTACCTTTCATTCATAGTCATGTGGTGGAAAAATCTTCTGAGACCATCCATATTTTTGTTTCTTAGTAATCTGCTTTTCTGCCTGGATATTTATGGCTTTTACTTTGTAACTCAAATATTTTATCATAATGTATCTAGGTGTGAGCTCTTTTTACTGATTTTGCATAACGATTGCCAAATCATTTCAGTTTCCAGAGTCAGATATTCTATTAGCACTAGGAAGATTTTTTTAAATGTCTTTTATATTTTTTTTACTATTTCTTTGGTTATATTTTATTTTTTCTTTTCTAAAATATATTTTTAAATTTTGAGTGCTTTTTTTAGAGATACTAGTTACATCCAATGAAATACATAGACTAAAAGTATGCTTTGATCAGTTTTACCAACTGTATATACCTGAGTAACCCATATCTTTGTTCAGATACAGGACATTTCCATCACCCCAGCAAACTTCTTTAAGCCCCTTCCCAAGCAATCCTGATACCAAAAGCAACTGCTGATCTGATTTCTATGGCCTAAGATTAGTTCTACCTATTCTGAAGGTTATATAAATGGAATCATACAATATTATGGATGTGACTTCTTTCACTTACTTATTTGAGATTTGTCCATGTTGCTGCTTATATCACTAATTCATCTCACTTATTGCCGAGTAGTATCTATTGTGTGATTACACTAGACTTGGTTTATTGATATCCGATTTGTGGATAGTTGGGCTATTTCCTGTTTGGAGCTATTATAAAGCTGCTATTAACATTGTTAGGTTTGTTGTGAACACATTTTTTTTTTTAAGTTTCGTTGGATAATGACCTAGGAGTGGAATTTTGAGGTCAAACGGTAAAAATGCACTTAACTGTTAAGAAACTGCCAACAGTTTTTCAAAGTGGTTGTTTCATTTTCCAACCCTACCAACAATTAATGAGTTTCAGTTGCTCTGTACCCCACTAACATTTCATATTGTCACTTTCATATTAGCTGTCTAGTGGTGTATAATGCTGTCTCATTGTGATCATCAGTCTCTTTTTCACAAGTACATATTAACATTAATTTTATTCCATTCCCCATTTTCTGGATCTACCTTCTCTTATCTTTTTATTCCTTTTTCCTTTTAGGAGGCCCCGTGTAGAGTATCTATATTTTAGGGAGTGTCTGATTCTGTCTACTACAGCATCAGTTTCGCTTCTTACTGCCTTCAGCGAACATACTAATACTCATATTTTTGGCTTCCCTACAATCTCTCCATATCTCACCCATAACCTCTTTCCTTTCATCTCTTTATATCATAATAGTTACCTGTCTTTCTTCACAGCGTCCTATTTCTACCTCAGTTGAGGATGTGAAACAGTTTTCTAAAATTATCTCTGAGATGGTCTGTCAGTTCCTTGTGATGCACTTTTCTCCTGTCTGTGCTGTTTATTTTTCATGCTTAGTCATCCAGAAATGAAAATCAATCTACTCAGACCCAGTGTTTGTGAACACAGAGCATGTGCAATGTGTTCCTGAACCTGCTCAGCATGTACTAGGCTATAAGTCCTCTGATCCACAGCTGGAGGGCAGAATGACATGTTCTAGTTCAATATCAGCTTCTGACAGGAATGTGGCTGATTCAGCTTTGTGCATTGAGAGAGGATCTTCTCTTCCCCCATTGCCTATTCCCCTACACTCAACTGAGAGAACACAGAAATTCATTACCTTTGGGACGCCCTTCTCTCACGACTCTTCCTTTCTCCTCGTAGCCTTTTCTTGTTGGATGTGGGTGCCAGGGTTTAGTGTGCTACTGTGCAGTCTTGTAACATCCAACTTTATTTTTTCTGGAGGTTGAGATTTTTATGCAAATGCAGGTAGGCTCACCTGCTGGGCTGAAGGTGGTTTCGTTTGGCAGGGGGATACATAAATAGTTTTCAGGAAAGAAATGAATTGTCTCTTCGCCTTCTTTGAAGCCAACAGTTTGTTTTTGTTTTCAGCAGCAAATCCTATGTTGACTATTAACTGTTATTCTTAGTTCAGTGCCGCAAGTCATGTTAATCCTGACATTTCTTTCAAGC